AGAAAGGGTTTGGTATACGACTCGATGCCTACAAGTGCTCCGAAGAGGAGTTATTGAATGCAATCGAAAGTCTATTAAATAATAAGGAATTGAATGAAAAACTGATGAAAATATCACAAAGAATACAATCGGATAATAGTATTGCAAAACTTCCTACAATCATTGAAAAATTATTTTTCAACACTAATCGGAATAATAATTAATAACTATATAATATATTAGTTACGAATTATAACTTATGATAAACATAGTATGTTATGATGATTATTATTCATATTATGATTAACCAATGCCAAAAATCTACATTTAATTGTATTAAATACATTAAAAATATACAAACAATGATATAATATAAAAATAGCCATTTTTAAGTTAATACACTTAAAACTATGTACAATTCAATTGAGTTAAAAAAGCATCACTATTTTAATAACAAAATATATTTTAATACTTAACACTTTATAATAGATAAATAAAAATCAATCTATCATTATATTAATATATAACCATCTGTTAATCTAAAAATTTTATATTATTTGTTTATATAAATAAAACATACATATTAATTTAGTAAATTACACCATAATAATGTGATATTATGAATATTCCAGTTACTATTATACAAATGATAACTTTAAGTTTGATGGTGATACTAACATTTTTCCAACATAAATCTCATAGTACATGTATTAACATTAGTCGAATAAAACGGGAACTTAAACTAACTTTTCCCAAAACCAAATGGTGCGGACCGGGAAATACTGCATCGGAGTACAATGATCTAGGACAATTGCGAGACCTCGACTCGTGCTGTCGCGAACATGATCTCTGTCCACATTCTCTGTCTCCTGGTAACTGGTCATGCGATCTGTTCAATCCAGGTCCATTATGTATGTAAGTAATATGCATAATTTACAGTACTATTATATGCTATATTAATACATATTACATATTAATTATAAATACTATAGATACTATAAATTAATAATATTCTTACACAATTTACTTATAACATATTATAATTAATTCGTATATTTAATTGATGGAATAGCATCTAGATTAATATATTTTTGTTATTTATTCAACAATTTAATTTAAACTTCTCTCTCTCTCTCTCTCTCTCAAATATGGTAATTATAGATATTTCTCACTGTGAGTGCGACAACCGTTTTCGTTTGTGTCTGCGACCACTACTGGCCGTCTCACAGTCGGCTCGTATCATACGGGGTATGTTTTCACTCACTATACACAAGTGCATACACATCGACCCCATCACAAAACAATGCTCTTTTCGAAACACCACTTTTATTTAAAATGTTATGTAATGTCCTGCCGTCACAAATGTTTATTTTTTAAATACAATAAACTTATTTATTCAATATTATTTAATTTTACAATCAGTTTATTCAAATTTAGTGTTTTACAACACCTTATAACTAATAATTTGTCATAAGAAATAATGAAAATGTTTACAATTCTCATGGTGATCATTAATTGTGTTAATTGAAAAGTGATATAATACACTATAATTTACATATGTATGTGTGTTGATAAAAATTCTTATACATATTCTAAATAAAAAACCATTTTATAATTTGTTCATTTGATCTTTTTTGTTATTACAATAGTAACAGGTTAGTGATATTAAACTCTTAATTTATAATAAGATATTATATTGTTATTTTAGACATTATATGAATTTTAAACAATATGCCTCAATTGCACACAATTCCTAAAATACAATAGTTTATGTTTTATGTGTAAAATGTGTATCATATTGAAGCAGCTTTACAAAAAAATTACACTATTATGATCTGACATTGAATACTTTTTTCAGTAACACTTGATAGTATAATTCGTACACTAGTTAATAATAACAGTTAATCTAAATGTATATTAAATATACTTCAATTCATAAGTAAAAGATTATACGTTTAGTACATTTAATATAATATAGCGTTTGCGCTTATAAGGATCATTATGACGTTTAGCACGTTATAACGCTAAACAGGATGGTTATAAGTTATAACAAATTAATGTTGTTTAAGTGGTTTAATTGACTCAATGGTTATTTTAATACAATTAAATACAGTAAAATATTATTCGCCTTTTTATGTTAATTAAGTTGTTTTATTTAGTTAAATTCAAGCCAACTTGTATCAACGCATTTTTCAAATCAAAATGTTGTGTTAGTAATAATAAGTTATTATTGATATAATTGTTATCACAAATTGTTATAATAAAGTACTTAAATTATATCGTTCAAAAATTATAAATAAAGACTATAAATATAAGTGTCGAATAATATTATAATAAATTTGTAACTCTATAATAAAGTGAACAAATTATGGCAAAAAAATTAAAAATACTATTCGTGCCGATCGGAGGCGTGGGACACGTGAACGCGTGCATAGGTATAGCGCAAGTGCTGCTGAGCGCCGGTCACAGGACTATATTCCTGGTGAACGGGCACTGGAATGGAAAGGAGGGCTCATATCTTGGGAAGTATGGCATTGAAGAGTACGTGATTGAAAGCGATAAAAATGGGGACAATTCCGCCCAAAAATCAGTCAAAGAGTTGGCCAAACGTATGATCAAAGCGGGTAATATCAGCGGTTTGTCACCTCTCGAAAAGGCTGCCAAACGCAAGGATGTTGTGGCAAAATGGATGGAAAATGCGGTTAAGCTTGATCAATTATTAATAACCCTGTTGGGTGAGATTTCCCCGGATTTAATTGTGGTGGATCAGTTTTTGTCAATACCGGCAATTGAGTTATCCGGTATACCTTATGTATGGTCGTGGAGTACAAATCCATTGAAAATTGATGATGATTGTTTACCTCCACTTGGTTCAGGTAATTTATATTTTTAAATAATAATACAAAATTTACAGTTTATAAAATGCTTGTTAGCAAATAAGTTTGACAAATAAAACAATTTTTAAATTAGAACTAACAATCAATTTTTGTATGTTTTGTATTAAAAATAACAATAGGTTTGTCTGCGACGGGAGACAAGACTGAGTGGCAAAAACACAGGGATGCGAGAAATCGGGCCGTAAACGAAACATGGATTAAATTCAATGATTATGTCATCTCAAGAGGTTGTCAGCCATTGAAAGAAAATAAATTTGAAAATTGCATAAAATGTCTGAATATTTATGGCTATCCATTGGAATTGGATTACATAGACATCAGACCATTGCCTAAAAATGTCATTCGTTTTGATAATCTTAAACGAGATAATGAGAAAACAACTTTTGCGATACCGGACCAGTTGAGGGACAAACCGGGAAAACTGGTATACTTTTCGTTGGGATCTATGGCTTCAGCAGATGTAGAGAATATGAAGAGATTAGTCAATATTTTGTCCAAATCTAAGCACAGGTTTATTGTATCGAAAGGACCCCTTCATGACGAGTACTCATTGGCTGATAATATGTGGGGCGAGGGGTCTGTCCCTCAGATCCAAGTCTTACCGTTAGTTGATTTGG